AAGTTTGAAGCCAACGTTGAACAGAGCCTGACCTCAGCAGGAGCATTTGACTGAAATTAAGCTAGCTATAATCAAATGATGGGCTACTATAACTTCTCATAACATAATACATTTTCTTTTCAATGATTAGTGAGACCGACGGTGGTGAGTCAGGCTGGAAAGGAGATACAGAGGGAGGAAGCATTGAAACAAGCAGGGAGAGAGGTTAGTAGTACAGTGGTTCCCAAACTTGGGGTCCGGGACCCATATAGGGTCAGCTAAAATTTTAATAGAGTCCCCTGAGAGAATCTTTAATCTATCACACAATAACTTGTTTCTCTTCAAATGGGTATAGAATACAACATTTTAGAGTCAACTAAGGGCCTTTTACATTGTCAGAATTAACTTTCATGTCGTGTTGGGACAGTCTGTGGGACCTAACATTTAGTGAAATATAAAGACAATTTCAATATAAAGACAATTTAATATTATCGTGTACACTGAGCAAAAATATGAATGCAACAATTTCAAAAATTTAGTTACAGTTCATATAAGGAAAGCAGTCAACATCATCAGTACTGACTTACCACTCGTATGTAGTAAATAAGTAATGAAACACATATTATTGAGTAGAGATGGGTTCAATTCCCGCGACCGGGAGACCCATGGGGCGGCGCACAATTGGCCCAGCGTCGTCCAGGGTAGGGGAGGGAATGGCCGGCAGGGATGTAGCTCAGTTGGTAGAGCATGGCGTTTGCAACGCCAGGGTTGTGGGTTCGATTCCCACAGGGGGCCAGTATAAACAAATAATGTATGCACTCACTAACTGTAAGTCGCTCTGGATAAGAGCGTCTGCTAAATGACTGAAATGTAATGAAATGTAAATAGAAAGTACTTTTTTCTCTCGAGGTTGTGGCAATACTGCCATCTGGTGGCGACGAGAAACAATTGCATAATATTACAAATTGATTGTCCTTGAAAATAAATATTAGTGCTTGAAAAAGTACTTGAAAGTCCTTGAATTTGACTTGCCACTGTCTGTACGAACCCTGAATGTAGACGCAAGACATTTTTCATACTTTTGTCATCATACTTTGATCTGGTTTCATCCAAATATAACATTTATTGAAAAACATGTTGACTGTGCATGGCCTTTAAGCTAGGTAGAGGAGCTACAGTTTGTTTTATCCTGAACATATTTGTGTTGGGCAAACTAGATAGGTATAAGAACTGTCTTGCTAGTTAGCTAGCAAGCAACATTTTTATTGTCAATAAGTTTGCAATGAAAAGGCCGGTGTTTCTCTTGCTAACGTTACTCTTCTGAATAACTTAACTATCAGCCGCATGTACAAAGGTCAGATCTGAAACCATGTCAATGTGGCATATTGTCTAGACAGCTGTCATGAGTAGTGCCCTGTGCTTTTCTTGACTTCTTTTATTTATTTACTTCTGGTCATTCTGTCCTCCAGCCCAACTGTCAGTGGTTATGACCTGTTTTAGTATTTATCTATTGATTGCTGAGGTTGAGTAAGGCTTGAATTACAGATTAAGTTAATGTCAGACATAGGTCAGGTTTGCCTAAACATCAGAATGTTACCCCATGGATCTTCTGTCTGAACGAAGGCAGCCTAAAAAAGACGCAAGAGTCTCTACAAGCCAGAATGGCGAATAACATTATATGTGCTCTTACTTTACTGGTTGTCCGTGCTGTTGGTCCTTTTGGCAGTAGGAGGTGGAGATAGGGTATCCACAGCAATACTTTTTGCGGCGTCGGTAGGTTCTGTCACTTGTATTTTCAATCTCCTGAGGCATTACACGTGATGCACAATATGTAAACAATAGCTGAATGTAACCGAACTTAGTAGACCGAAGCACATTTCCTTGCAATCAGCTGGAAGTGTTTGTGAAATTTTCCAGCTGATTGTGTGGGACAATATTTGGTTAGGTTCGGCCATATTGTGTAAGTGTTTGTCGCTTGGGAAAACCGATATACAGACCCTCGTACTGAAGGTCTGGGTGATAACGCTTCCCTGTCGATATTTTCTCAGATAACCGCCAACATGGGGACAAAATAGTAATTTGAAATGTTTGTTCAACATTCTGATTGTAATGGGACTGTTCAGGAATTCTGAGCCTACATGTTAAGTATAAGCCATTCTAAGGGGGATTTCACACATGGTTTGGTGAGGTTTTTCCGAACTCTGGTGTAGGCTTGGGCGGTATCCAGATTTTCATATCGCCATAACATCCTTCTCTCATCCTGGAATTTACAGTATTACAGGCATAGCACACAAGGGGGCGCTAAAAATGCAAGAAAATCCCATTGGGCTTCTATTACCAGAATGGTAACAATTTAACGCTACCTAATAGCAAAATCACATAGCTAAATGATATTGAGTGAAAACGACCATAAACTAATTGCTAAGACAGCTCATAAAGTTATACAGTGAGGGGAAAAAAGTATTTGATCCCCTGCTGATTTTGTACGTTTGCCCACTGACAAAGAAATGATCAGTCTATAATTTTAATGGTAGGTTTATTCGAACAGCGAGAGACAGAATAACAACAACAAAATCCAGAAAAACACATGTCAAAAATGTTATAAATTGATTTGCATTTTAATGAGGGAAATAAGTATTTGACCCCCTCCTAATCAGAAAGATTTCTGGCTCCCAGGTGTCTTTTATACAGGTAACGAGGTGAGATTAGGAGCACACTCTTAAAGGGAGTCCTCCTTAGCTCAGCTTGTTATCTGTATAAAAGACACCTGTCCACAGAAGCAATCAATCAATCAGATTCCAAACTCTCCACCATGGCCAAGATCAAAGAGCTCTCCAAGGATGTCAGGGACAAGATTGTAGACCTACACAAGGCTGGAATGGGCTACAAGACCATCGCCAAGCAGCTTGGTGAGAAGGTGACAACAGTTGGTGCGATTATTTGCAAATGGAAGAAACACAAAAGACCTGTCAATCTCCCTCGGCCTGGGGCTCCATGCAAGATCTCACCTCGTGGAGTTGCAATGATCATGAGAACGGTGAGGAATCAGCCCAGAACTACACGGGAGGATCTTGTCAATGATCTCAAGGCAGCTGGGACCATAGTCACCAAGAAAACAATTGGTAACACACTACGCCGTGAAGGACTGAAATCCTGCAGCGCCCGCAAGGTCCCCTGCTCAAGAAAGAACAAATACAGGGCCGTCTGAAGTTTGCCAATGAACATCTGAATGATTCAGAGGAGAACTGGATGAAAGTGTTGTGGTCAGATGAGACCAAAATCGAGCTCTTTGGTATCAACTCAACTCGCCGTGTTTGGAGGAGGAGGAATGCTGCATATGACCCCAAGAACACCATCCCCACCGTTAAACATGGAGGTGGAAACATTATGCTTTTGGGGTGTTTTTCTGCTAAGGGGACAGGACAACTTCACCGCATCAAAGGGACGATGGATGGGGCCATGTACCGTCAAATCATGGGTGAGAACCTCCTTCCCTTAGCCAGGGCATTGAAAATGGGTCGTGGATGGGTATTCCAGCATGACAATGACCCAAAACACACGGCCAAGGCAACAAAGGAGTGGCTCAAGAAGAAGCACATTAAGGTCCTGGAGTGGCTTAGCCAGTCTCCAGACCTTAATCCCATAGAAAATCTGTGGAGGGAGCTGAACGTTCGAGTTGCCAAACGTCAGCCTCAAAACCTTAATGACTTGGAGAAGATCTGAAAGAGGAGTGGAACAAAATCCCTCCTGAGATGTGTGCAAACCTGGTGGCCAACTACAAGAAACGTCTGACCTCTGTGATTGCCAACAAGGGTTTTGCCACCAAGTACTAAATCATGTTTTGCAGAGGGGTCAAATATTTATTTCCCTCATTAAAATGCAAATCAATTTATACAAATTTTGACATGCATTTTTCTGGATTTTGTTGTTGTTATTCTGTCTCTCACTGTTCAAATAAATCTACCATTAAAATTATAGACTGATCATGTCTTTATCAGTGGGCAAACGTACAAAAACAGCAGGGGATCAAATACTTTTTTCCCTCACTGTAGCTAGTAGCTACCGAATGTCATTTTCGGTGAATGTGTACGCTTACAAGCGAAAGTGAACGAGAGAAATTGGGCAAATGAACAAAGTTGTGATGCATGCTTTACTGAAGGAAGAGCAGCATGTGCACACGGAGAAGAACAGAGGAGAAAAAATATAGCAGCTGTACAGAACGCATCCAGAGCTCTTTGACCTCTGGCAGAAAGCCATTATAAAATACACTACAAGGCCAAAAGTGGTGCTATAACAGCCTCCACTCTTCTCGGAAGGCTTTCCACTAGATGCTGGAACATTGCAGCGGAGACTTGCTTCCATTCAGCCACAAGAGCATTAGTGATGTCGGGCAGTGATGTTGGCCTGCCTCGCAGTTGGCGTTTCAATTAATCCCAAAGGTGTTCGATGGGGTTGAGGTCCATTTCTGTATGGACCTCGCTTTGTGCATGGGGGCATTGTCATGCTGAAACAGGAAAGGGTCTTCCCCAAACTGTTGCCACAAAGTTGGAGGCATAGAATCGCCTACAATGTAATTGTATGCTGTTGCGTTAAGATTTCCCTTCACTGGAACTAAGGGGCCTAGCCCAAACCATGAAAAACAGTCTCAGACCATTATTCCTCCTCCACCAAACTTTACAGTTGGCACTATGTACTGGGGCAGGTAGCGTTCTCTTGGCATCCGCCAAACCCAAATTCGTCCGTCGGACTGCCAGATGGTGAAGCGTAATTCCTCACTCCAGAGAACGCGTTTCCACTTCTCCATAGTCCAATGGCGGCAAGCTTTACACCACTCCAGGTAAAGGTCAGGTCTGTGAACATGTTTACTGTACTGTAGTAGCAAGATGCACTCTAGTGTCCCTGTATTCTCTGCTTGCCATCACATATTGCCAGAGTCTCACCTGAGTAACTTTGTTGACACTTAACTGTAGAGTTGCTGCTTCAACCCCTGGTACTCACCTGAGTATGTATTTCCCTTCCAGAACCAGTAATGAACAGGATAAGGATCCACGTGTTGCCGTCAAGCCGGGGCCGTTTGGCCCAGACTGCCCGTACCCAAGAGCCCCAGGCCTGTTCCTTCACCCAACGGACCTGCTTCCAGCCCCGCCTGGAGGGCCTGGAGTTCTGCATCAAACATGTCCTGGAGGACAAGAACGCCCCCTACAGACAGTGTAGTTATGTGTCTAACAAGAATGGCAAGCGCTGCCCGAACGCAGCCCCAAAGGTTGAAAAGAAAGAAGGGTGAATGAATCAACTTGGATATACATTTCTTCTATCAAACTCTCAAAACAACAACTACATGTTGATGTTGTATTTAGGCTTACATTGGGGGAAATCCCTTGAAGTGTATCAATGAAGAGTGAGTTTTTTCCTTTTCAAGTCAGTTCTTCACGTTTCAAGTTTATTAGCCATAAATACATTGGAAATATCTGCGCCATCTGGGGTTCTCTGTGACCTTATCTGACATGTGTGACTCTTATTTCTACGTTCAGGGTGACCTTCTGTATGGAGCACGTTAGGAGGAATGTCAAGGCTGTCCAGGCCCAGCTGAGGAAGGCCTCATCTGGTCCCGCTCCTGAGGCCCTCCTATCTCAGCTCAGTGGATACAACCTCCCTGAGACACACGGCCCGGACAGTGGCCGCAGTGAAGCCAGCCGCAACCTAGGTGTGAAACGTTTCTGCAGCATCTTTTTTCTTTCTACACATATGCGTTGGCATATTTTGACATTTATTTTATTTATCAGAGACCATGCACAACAAATGAATTGCACCATATTTGACAGCTAATTTTTTACTCTCTGGTGTTCTGATAGCTGTTCTTTTTTTCTAATAGTTGCAATTCCAGGTAAAGGGAGCGTTTACTACTTACTGCATGGTCCCATTCCTGTACATTCCTCCGCTGCATTGAGCCATGTCACAGTCTAGGGGAGCTTATGGGGATTGTCTGTCTGTAGATGAGGACAGCTGGCTCTGGACCAGACCTGGAGAGGAGACCCAGACAGTGAAGCTGACAGCATTGACAGTGACAACGAGGACCCTCTCAAGTAAGACTGCACTATCTGGGTACTGTGTTGTGTACCACATTACATAGGTGTGTTATAAGATCGAAATCTACTTGATCTTTGGAAATTGATCCGAATGGCTCAACATTCTCCAGGTCCCAACCTGTGCCCAGTCCGCTAATGTGGACAACAAATCTTTGTTTTGATTGCAAGATCAGACTGGCGTGTTTGTAGTGGTTCTATTGTGGTCTAACTGTTTTAATTGTATGGATGTGGTTTTGACGTGCAGACGTGCAGGAGTGTACACAGCAGAGAAGGTTGCTCTGATCACACGGGAGAAGCTCATCAGACTCCAGTCTCTCTACATCGACCAGTTCAAACGACTGCAGCACCTCCTCAAGGAGAAGAAGCGCCGATACCTGCACAGCTGCAGGGTGGAGCATGAGACACTAGGTAAAGCCAGTGTGCTGCACTAACCCAGTCTGTTCTGTCCTGTAGTTAGTGCTGCTGAGCGATTAGTGCTTTTTGAGGTCGTTTCGGTTTGATTATATAAAAATCACGGTTTTCAGTTTCGAATTATTTATTTATTTTTACATTAAATGCTTTATGCATTATGTGGGTTGAATGCTGTAACACAGAATTTTAAAAATCCCATGACGGTAGTGACTGCCCATTACTGCTTATCACTTATTAACAATCATTTATTCACATTACTTTAATAAAATATTTCAGTTGTGTATATTACATTTTTGTTATTTGATTTTATTATTCCATTCCAAGTCATCATCTCATCTCTATAGAGCTGCTGTCTATGCTGTCTGACTAAATCACTATTTTAGTAGTTCTTCAAAGTAAATAAGGCATACTTTTATGACTGCTGAATACCAACGATCAATCACTTAGATCATGTATTTTCAGGTAGAGATACCTCGCGAAGCAACTGCTCTCTATCCCTCTCAATCGTGCATTCTTCTGTCTCCCTCTCCATGTCTGCCCCACACTAACCTAAGGTAGCAGGCATAAAAGAAACACCCAGACCGGACAAGTAGGCGCATTAAGCATGCAAACATTTTTTGCAAATGGAATTCACATAATTCAACAGACGTCAGTCAATTAGTTGTTTTAAAAAACAAGAAATAACAGAAATGTTGGTTAATTGCTCAGCACTATTGGTTAGGGCCACTGTAGTGAAACCATGGTGCCGCACTATCCCAGCCTGTTCTATTACATTTACATTTTAGTCATTTAGCAGACGCTCTTATCCAGAGCGACTTACAGGAGCAATTAGGGTTAAGTGCCTTGCTTAAGGGCACATCGACAGATTTTTCACCTAGTCGGCTCGGGGATTAGAACCAGCGACCTTTCGGTTACTGGCACAACGCTCTTACCCACTAAGCTACCTGCCGCCCCAGGTTCTATCCTGGACTTACCTGGGTAAGGTTAGTTCAGTAAGGCTCACCTTAGCAAAACATGTTGCAACTGAAAGTGGAAAAGTACTAAACTAATTGAGTACTTCTCTGCTTAAATTGTTTTATTTTTATTGAAGAAATTCCAGGTGTGACCATTGTGGTGTGTCCGGTGTGACCATTGTGGTGATGCCAGATGTGACGGTGGGTTAGCCAGGTGTGATTACTGTGATGATACCAGCACCTCTGACCCCTCTCCTGTGTGATGTGTCCAACAGGAATCAGTCTGCTGACGGGTCCCGAGGGTCTCTCCATGAAGGAGATGGTGAACCTGAGGAAGCTGAAGGCTCTGCGTCGGTACCGCCGCCAGTACGGCGTGGAGGCTCTGCTGCATCGGCAGCTCCTAGAGAGGAGACAGACTGTCACAGAAGGAGCTCCTCCTCAGGTCTGTGTTTATAAAAGCATAGACGGGTTGCCTGGCAGACAGCCGTGTGTTGTTATTATTCTGAACGGTCAGATAGCTAGCAAAAATTACAAGAAGCTGCCATGTGGGGAATCGTAGGTGGCTCGTTTCAGTTAGTTTTATCTTGTTATTGATACCAAGCAAGACCTTTAAACAGGTCAACATTCACAAGGCCGCAGGGCCAGACGGATTACCAAGACGTGTACTCAGAGCATGCGCGGACCAACTGGCAAGTGTCTTTACTGACATTTTCAACCTCTCCCTGACCGAGTCTGTAATACCTACATGTTTCAAGCAGACCACCATAGTCCCTGTGCCTAAGAACGCCAAGGTAACCTGCCTAAATGACTACTGCCCGTAGCACTCACGTCTGTAGCCATGAAGTGCTTTGAAAGGCTGGTCATGGCTCACATCAACACCATCATCCTGGAAACCCTAGACCCACTCCAATTCGCATACCTCCCCAACAGATCCACAGATGACGCAATCTCAATTGCACTCCACACTGCCCTTTCCCACCTGGACAAAAGGAACACCTATGTGAGAATGCTGTTCATTGACTACAGCTCAGCGTTCAACACCATAGTGCCCACAAAGCTCATCACTAAGCTAAAGACCCTGGGACAAAACACCTCCCTCTGCAACTGGATCCTGGACTTCCTGACGGGCCACCCCCAGGTGGTAAGGGTAGACAACAACACATCTGCCACGCTGATCCTCAACACGGGGGCCCCTCAGGGGTGCGTGCTTAGTCCCCTCCTGTACTCCCTGTTCACCCACGACTGAGTGACCAAGCATGACACCATCAAGTTTGCTGACGACACAACGGTGGTAGGCCTGATCACTGACAACGATGAGACAGCCTATAGGGAGGAGGTCAGAGACAACAACCTCTCCCTCAACGTGAGCAAGACAAAGGAGTTGATTGTGGACTACAGGAAAAGGAGGGCCGAACACGCCCCCATTCACATCGACCGGGCTGTAGTGGAGAGGGTCGAGAGCTTCAAGTTCCTTGGTGTCCACATCACCAACAAACTATCATGGTCTGAACACACCAAGACAGTCGTGAAGAGGGCACGCCAACGCCTATTCGCCCTCAGGAGACTGAAATGATTTGGCATGGGACCCCAGATCCTCAAAGTTCTACAGCTGCGCCATTGAGAGCATCCTGACCGGTTGCATCACCGCCTGGTATGGCAACTGCTCAGCATCCGACCGTAAGGCGCTACAGAGGGTAGTGCGTACGGCCTAGTACATCACTGGAGCCAAGCGTCCTGCCATCCAAGACCTTTATACCAGGCGGTGTCAGAGGAAGGCCCAAAAAATTGTCAGACTCCAGCCACCCAAGTCATAGACTGTTCTCTCTGCTACCGCACGGCAAGCGGTACCGGAGCACCAAGTCTAGGTCCAAAAGGCTCCTTAACAGCTTCTAGCCCCAAACCATAAGACTGCTGAACAATTAATCAAATGGCTATCCGGACTATTTGCATTGACTTTACCCCTACTTACATGTACATATTATCTTAATTACCTTGACTAACATGTACCCACACACATTGACTCGGTACCGGTACCCCCTGTATATAGCCTAGTTATTGTTATTTGATTGTTACTCAAAATTTTTTATTTAGTAAATATTTTCTTAACTGCATTGTTGGTTAAGGCCTTGTAAGTAAGCATTTCACGGTGTATTGTATTCGGCACATGTGACAAATAACATTTGATTTTATGTCTTGTTTTGACTGATTTCACTTCTATGCTAATATGGCTAAAATTCGCTAGCTAGCTCACCAACAACTAACAATGTATTTGAGAGACAAGTGCTCATTGTGCAAATGTATATATGTTTTCAATAAACATTTGGAGACTAAATATAGTTTATATGTTGTCAAAAATCTAAGTCAACCCCGTCTGTTTTGCCCCAAAGTTCTGCATGCATCGGTTTTGTTGCTAAACAACCAACCCATCTATAGCACCCCAAAACCACTCTGCTTGAGCTTCCATGTACAATACAGTGCCAGTAGAGGGCACAGTGGGGTATTTTGCTGCAGACTGCACAGAAAGTTTGCCAGATTTAGTGATTAACTTGTTAGCAAATGCATGTGAAACCTCTGTTGTTCAAGATGCATTTTGTGTTAAACTTCAAGCTGACGATTTTGTTTTGTTTGAGGATTTTAACCTTTTTTGCCCCGTTATTGTGTGTTCTCTCTACAGGCCCATACAGTGAGGTCCAGCCAGAGGTGTATCTCCTACGTGGAGGGGACCCGCTGCTCTAACCAGTGTCTCCCAATGACACAACACTGCATCTCTCGTATCCATCATAGTATGATCTATGATCCATCATGGGTTGATTTTAAAATGTGCACGAATACAATAACTTACATGGACTTATGTGAGGGTGTAAAACCATACTAATGCTCTTTGTGGCGAAAGCTACAACATAAGCTTGGATGTTGCCATGTTAACCAGCCAGCCTCACTACTTCTTGGACATTTGCACCCTTCAATTTCGTACATGTGCTTGAACTGAAGAAGATGCATGCACCTGCATTTTCACACACCCTCTTATTGCTAACACGGCCTTAATCAAGTCTGGCAGCTTGTTGTAGCTGTCCAGATCCAAACCAGGCCAACATTAACCTCTTCCCATGGTCTGTTGGTTTTCCCCCATTCTAACAAAGGGGATAGTCAATTCAGTTGGAAGGAACAAACACCTCCTTTCCTCCTTTACAAATCATAATGATATCATTAAAAAAAATAAACATTGTTCAAGCAGATGCATACATCCACCATTGTTTTTAAACGTGATCTGCTTACAGTGCATTCAGAAAGTATTCAGACCCCTTGACTTTTTTCCACATTTTGTTACGTTACAGCCTTATTCTAAAATTGATTAAATTGTTTTTCCCCCTAGTCAATCTACAAACAATACCCCATAATGACAAAGCAAAAACTGGTTTTTATCATTTTTTGCAAATGTATTAAAAATATACTGAAATATCACATTTACATAACTATTCATACCCTTTACTCAGTACTTTGTTGAAGCACCTTTGGCTGCAATTACAGCCTCGAGTTCTTGGGTATTACGCTACAAGCATGGCATGCTTGTATTTGGGGAGTTTCTCCCATTCTTCTCTGCAGATCCTCTCAAGCTCTGTCAGGGTGGATGGGGAGCGTCGCTGCACAGCTATTTTCAGGTCTCTCCAGAGATGTTAGCTTGGGTTCAAGTCCAGGCTCTGGCTGGGCCACTCAAGGACATTTAGAGACTTGTCCCGAAGCCACTCCTGCGTTGTCTTGGCTGTGTGCTTAGGGTCGTTGTCCTGTTGGGAAGGTGAACCTTCGCCCCAGTCTGAGGTCCTGAGTGCTCTGGAGCAGATTTTCATCAAGGATCTCGCTGTACTTTGCTCCGTTCATCTTTCCCTCGATCCTGACTAGTCTCCCAGTCCCTGCTGCTGAAAAACATCCCCACAGCATGGTGCTGCCACCACCATGCTTCACCGTAGGGATGGTGCCAGGTTTCCTCCAGACGTGACACTTGGCATTCAGGTCAAAGAGTTCAATCTTGGTTTCATCAGACCAGAGAATCTTGTTTCTCATGGTCTGAGAGTCCTTTAGGTGCCTTTTGTAAAACTCCAAGTGGGCTGTCATGGGCCTTTTACTGAGGAGTGGCTTCCGTTTAGCCACTCTACCATAAAAGGCCTGATTGGTGGAGTGCTGCAGAGATGGTTGTCCTTCTGGAAGGTTCTTCGATCTCCACAGAGGAACTCTGGAGCTCTGTCAGAGTGACGATCGGGTTCTTGGTCACCTCCCTGACCAAGGCCCTTCCCCCCCGATTGCTCAGTTTGGCCGGGTGGCCAGCTCTAGGAAGAGTCTTGGTGGTTCCAAACTTCTTCAATTTAAGAATGATTGAGGCCAATGTGTTCTTGGGGACCTTCAATCCTGCAGTCATTTTTTGGTACCCTTCCCAAGATCTGTGCCTTGACACAATCCTGTCTCGGAGCTCTACGGACAATTCCAAATCATGTCCAATCAATTGAATTTACCACAGGTGGACTCCAAGTTGTAGAAACATCTCAAGGATGATAGATGGAAACAGGATGCACCTGAGCTCAATTTTGAGTCTCATAGCAAAGGGTCTGAACTTATGTAAATAAGGTAAAAATGTCTAAACCTGTTTTCGCTTTGTCATTATGGGGTATTGTGTGTAGATTGATTCAATAAAAAAAAAATCCTCATCAATTTTAGAATAAGGCTATTAATTAACAAAATGTGGGAAATGTCAAGGGGTCTGAATACTTTCCGAATGCACCAAGAGTAAGTTCAACATAATGGCCGATGTAGCAAGTAATTCAGCTGTTGATTTAGAATGTTTTTCCAAGAATCTATAAACCCTGATTTAATTCAAAGTAAAGCTATTGTCAATGAGGTACAGAATATCGTTGTACAAAACCAATCAAGCTTGTAAGTAACTTGCACCTTCCAGCATTTCACACAAGTACCCTAATACTGTTATTGTAGTGAGCTTATGTGTGAAGTAACGCTGATAATCGCAGCATAACAGTCTAATTCATAGTGTAATTATATGAAGTTTATTGGTATGTGGTAATTGTAGTAACCCTGATAATCGCCATGTTATTTGTGTTACTAACTGGTGGATGTTTGTTTCTGTTAAATCTGTTATTGCATTTCTATAGACGCATATGGCACTAAAATCCTATAGACCTAAAATCCTACATCTAATAGTCACTGTCTATTGGTGTGGTCCACAAAGGTGCAATCTAATACTATATTTAATTTGTATATTTAGTTATATTTCATTAAGTGGTTATCCTTGACCATAAAACATCCAGACATCTACCAGGACAGTAACCAGGTACTGTTTAACGTGTGTCCGGGGCTAAAGGATGTTCCGTGTGATCGGCCGGTCCATATGGGCCAGTCTGAGGAGCCTCGCTGCCCCCTGCATCTCTCCCTGCCGCCCCCCATGTACCAGCCTGAACAGGAGACAGCCCTGGCCCCAGAGCAGCTAGATGCAGTACTACCCAGAGACATGTACCTGAGTGCTGCAGAGTTACAGCCCACGGAGAGCCTGCCGCTAGAGTTCAGCAACGTACGTAAAGTCTGACTCCCACCAAGTTTTCTGCTCTTATGATATAGCCATAATCCTATGATTAACCCATGGCTAATATACCAATCATTTTAATTTGAAACGGATTTTCACCCCAAAGATACATTTTCACTCTCCCTAATCAGTGCCCTAATCAAGTCTGGCAGCTTGTTGTAGCTGTTCAGATCCAAATCGGGCCAACATTAACATTCAGTTGGAAGGAACAAACGCCTCTTATTTCTCAAACAAATGTTCACCCCCTGAATGTCTAAAATGTTGCATGTTGTTTTGACTCAATGTTTTTCAAGTGTGTTATACACTCCAGTGGGGAATGCGCATCAGTGCAGCTGCACTGAAATTGAACCTATGCTCAAAGCTACTTCCTGCCTTTGCAACACAGCTGTTTAACATGCTGACCACACTGCCCGCGTTGCAAAATAAATGCACATATACATGTTATTCAATAATTTCATCCAAACTGCTCGCGCTCATCAATGAGCGTCTGCGTTGCCAGGCACTAAAATAGAACTTGGTTATATTTTTTACACTTGACGCACTGCTAGTCCGGCCTCTCCCATCTCCTCATTGGTTTTTAGGAGCATATACCCACGGGGTGATTGAAAGATGAACTGAGGTCCACACTCCAGTCCAGTTGGTGGTGGTAATGCACCTTAAAGTTGGTTGCCAACCGCCATATAAAGTCCACAGAAGAAGACTGAAGGAGGAGCGATTACTAAAACTAACTAGGTTTCCCCTTTTATCTGTGGATGAATTGTCGGAGTAGAGAACACACGATTTTGTGTGACTCAAAATGGGTCAAAATTCTACAAAGATCCAGAAAATAAGTACCTTGTGCATTTCAGGTAAAATAACAACCCACTGTTTATATCCCAGGACAAATTAGCTAGCAACAGCAAGCTAGCTAGCTAAATGTGCATGAATGTTTTATGTGTTTCGACCTGTCCTCAAATTAATCTAATTGGTTCAGAGTTCATTTTGATATTTCAACCTGCGTGTCCTGATCGCATCTGGTGTGGATGGACAAAATCAACATGGGCGTGCCCGGTCTAGTCAGCATGTTTGAATGTGTTAATAAATTAATCATGACCGTCTCCAGGATTTGCACATAATTTCAGATTTCTCGCCCGATTTCCTGTGATGCCAGACAAAACCCAATAAAAAAAGTTCTGGCTTTTTTAAAACCAGGAATAAAAACTTTGAAAATGATGGGTCTTTGATACTAAAATTGCTTCTAAAATACTTTTGATACTAAAATAACACTTTGCTACCACACCTCCTAGAACAGCATTAACGAGGCTTACAGTTTGGTTATACATGCTCACAAAAATATGCCTTTTACTTCCCCTGTAGCCTATTTAGCTGTATTAATCTACTTAGTTGAGGAATATAAACTTATTGCAGCACATGTCCCCCCTCATCTGTTAAACTCCTGTAGGACCTGGATGTAGTGGGGTGTCCTATGTCCCCTCTGACGTTTGACACAGCCTTGGCCCTGGAGGACCAGGCAGTCAGGGCCATCGCTGAGGCCCCCATGGACTTCCTGACCGGGACCAAGCTGGACGCCTCGGGACACATGGAGCTCTCTGAGAGAGATATGGAGTATATAGTGGACCAGGTGAGATGTCATGTTTAATTCTTGATAATGATTGTGGACCAGTAGCCTTGTGAACCAGCCGGACCTGTCTATAGCTCACTCTTGTTAAACAGAATGGGGAGCGCAGTAATCAGGCTGGTTCTACGTGGCTAGTGGACCAGACCCCTAAATAGGTGTTTGTCTACTATTGTGTACCATTTTATTATGGTACTGTGCACAACCCCCTTTAGCTGCAGCACTAATGTCAAAGCTGTTACATTGTACATTTACATTTTAGTTATTTAGCAGACACTCTTATTCAGAGCGACTTACAGGAGCAATTAGGGTTGGGTAAATGCGGAAGACACATTTCAGTTGAATGCATTCAGTTGCTAAACAGTTGCAAACATTTTATTTTATTTGTACAACTGACTAGGTATCCCCCTTTCCCAATTAGGGTTAAGTGCCTTGCTGAAGGGCACATCAACAGAATTTTCACCTAGTTGGCTCGGTGATTCAAACCAGGCGACCTTTCAGTTACTGGCCCAACACTCTTAACCGCTAGGCTACCAGCACAACAATAATAGTACATTGTAACAGTACTCCACAGAACAGTACATTGCTCTTAGACATATACAGTGCATTCGGAAAGTATTCAGACCCCACTTTTTCCAGATTATGTTATGTTACAGCCTTATTCTAAAATTGATTAAATAGTTTTTTTCCCTCATCAATCTACACACAGTACCCGATAATGACAAAGCAAAAACTGTTTTTTCATTTTTTGTGCAAATTTATAAAAAAGAAATGGAGCAGGTTTTCATCAAGGATCTTTCTGTACTTTCCTCCGTTCATCTTTCCCTCGATCCTGACTAGTCTCCCAGTCCCTGCCGCTGAAAAACATCCCCAAAGCATGATGCTGTCACCACCATGCATCACCGTAGGGATGGTGCCAGGTTTCCTCCAGACGTGACACTTGGCATTCAGGTCAAAGAGTTCAATCTTGGTTTCATCAGACCAGAGAATCTTGTTTCTCATGGTCTGAGAGTCCTTTAGGTGCCTTTTGTAAAACTCCAAGTGGGCTGTCATGGGCCTTTTACTGAGGAGTGGCTTCCGTTTAGCCACTCTACCATAAAAGGCCTGATTGGTGGAGTGCTGCAGAGATGGTTGTCCTTCTGGAAGGTTCTTCGATCTCCACAGAGGAACTCTGGAGCTCTGTCAGAGTGACGATCGGGTTCTTGGTCACCTCCCTGACCAAGGCCCTTCCCCCCCGATTGCTCAGTTTGGCCGGGTGGCCAGCTCTAGGAAGAGTCTTGGTGGTTCCAAACTTCTTCAATTTAAGAATGATTGAGGCCAATGTGTTCTTGGGGACCTTCAATCCTGCAGTCATTTTTTGGTACCCTTCCCAAGATCTGTGCCTTGACACAATCCTGTCTCGGAGCTCTACGGACAATTCCAAATCATGTCCAATCAATTGAATTTACCACAGGTGGACTCCAAGTTGTAGAAACATCTCAAGGATGATAGATGGAAACAGGATGCACCTGAGCTCAATTTTGAGTCTCATAGCAAAGGGTCTGAACTTATGTAAATAAGGTAAAAATGTCTAAACCTGTTTTCGCTTTGTCATTATGGGGTATTGTGTGTAGATTGATTCAATAAAAAAAAAATCCTCATCAATTTTAGAATAAGGCTATTAATTAACAAAATGTGGGAAATGTCAAGGGGTCTGAATACTTTCCGAATGCACCAAGAGTAAGTTCAACATAATGGCCGATGTAGCAAGTAATTCAGCTGTTGATTTAGAATGTTTTTCCAAGAATCTATAAACCCTGATTTAATTCAAAGTAAAGCTATTGTCAATGAGGTACAGAATATCGTTGTACAAAACCAATCAAGCTTGTAAGTAACTTGCACCTTCCAGCATTTCACACAAGTACCCTAATACTGTTATTGTAGTGAGCTTATGTGTGAAGTAACGCTGATAATCGCAGCATAACAGTCTAATTCATAGTGTAATTATATGAAGTTTATTGGTATGTGGTAATTGTAGTAACCCTGATAATCGCCATGTTATTTGTGTTACTAACTGGTGGATGTTTGTTTCTGTTAAATCTGTTATTGCATTTCTATAGACGCATATGGCACTAAAATCCTATAGACCTAAAATCCTACATCTAATAGTCACTGTCTATTGGTGTGGTCCACAAAGGTGCAATCTAATACTATATTTAATTTGTATATTTAGTTATATTTCATTAAGTGGTTATCCTTGACCATAAAACATCCAGACATCTACCAGGACAGTAACCAGGTACTGTTTAACGTGTGTCCGGGGCTAAAGGATGTTCCGTGTGATCGGCCGGTCCATATGGGCCAGTCTGAGGAGCCTCGCTGCCCCCTGCATCTCTCCCTGCCGCCCCCATGTACCAGCCTGAACAGGAGACAGCCCTGGCCCCAGAGCAGCTAGATGCAGTACTACCCAGAGACATGTACCTGAGTGCTGCAGAGTTACAGCCCACGGAGAGCCTGCCGCTAGAGTTCAGCGACGTACGTAAAGTCTGACTCCCACCAAGTTTTCTGCTCTTATGATATAGCCATAATCCTATGATTAACCCATGGCTAATATACCAATCATTTTAATTTGAAACGGATTTTCACCCCAAAGATACATTTTCACTCTCCCTAATCAGTGCCCTAATCAAGTCTGGCAGCTTGTTGTAGCTGTTCAGATCCAAATCGGGCCAACATTAACATTCAGTTGGAAGGAACAAACGCCTCTTATTTCTCAAACAAATGTTCACCCCCCTGAATGTCTAAAATGTTGCATGTTGTTTTGACTCAATGTTTTTCAAGTGTGTTATACACTCCAGTGGGGAATGCGCATCAGTGCAGCTGCACTGAAATTGAACCTATGCTCAAAGCTACTTCCTGCCTTTGCAACACAGCTGTTTAACATGCTGACCACACTGCCCGCGTTGCAAAATAAATGCACATATACATGTTATTCAATAATTTCATCCAAACTGCTCGCGCTCATCAATGAGCGTCTGCGTTGCCAGGCACTAAAATAGAACTTGGTTATATTTTTTACACTTGACGCACTGCTAGTCCGGCCTCTCCCATCTCCTCATTGGTTTTTAGGAGCATATACCCACGGGGTGATTGAAAGATGAACTGAGGTCCACACTCCAGTCCAGTTGGTGGTGGTAATGCACCTTAAAGTTGGTTGCCAACCGCCATATAAAGTCCACAGAAGAAGACTGAAGGAGGAGCGATTACTAAAACTAACTAGGTTTCCCCTTTTATCTGTGGATGAATTGTCGGAGTAGAGAACACACGATTTTGTGTGACTCAAAATGGGTCAAAATTCTACAAAGATCCAGAAAATAAGTACCTTGTGCATTTCAGGTAAAATAACAACCCACTGTTTATATCCCAGGACAAATTAGCTAGCAACAGCAAGCTAGCTAGCTAAATGTGCATGAATGTTTTATGTGTTTCGACCTGTCCTCAAATTAATCTAATTGGTTCAGAGTTCATTTTGATATTTCAACCTGCGTGTCCTGATCGCATCTGGTGTGGATGGACAAAATCAACATGGGCGTGCCCGGTCTAGTCAGCATGTTTGAATGTGTTAATAAATTAATCATGACCGTCTCCAGGATTTGCACATAATTTCAGATTTCTCGCCCGATTTCCTGTGATGCCAGACAAAACCCAATAAAAAAAGTTCTGGCTTTTTTAAAACCAGGAATAAAAACTTTGAAAATGATGGGTCTTTGATACTAAAATTGCTTCTAAAATACTTTTGATACTAAAATAACACTTTGCTACCACACCTCCTAGAACAGCATTAACGAGGCTTACAGTTTGGTTATACATGCTCACAAAAATATGCCTTTTACTTCCCCTGTAGCCTATTTAGCTGTATTAATCTACTTAGTTGAGGAATATAAACTTATTGCAGCACATGTCCCCCCTCATCTGTTAAACTCCTGTAGGACCTGGATGTAGTGGGGTGTCCTATGTCCCCTCTGACGTTTGACACAGCCTTGGCCCTGGAGGACCAGGCAGTCAGGGCCATCGCTGAGGCCCCCATGGACTTCCTGACCGGGACCAAGCTGGACGCCTCGGGACACATGGAGCTCTCTGAGAGAGATATGGAGTATATAGTGGACCAGGTGAGATGTCATGTTTAATTCTTGATAATGATTGTGGACCAGTAGCCTTGTGAACCAGCCGGACCTGTCTATAGCTCACTCTTGTTAAACAGAATGGGGAGCGCAGTAATCAGGCTGGTTCTACGTGGCTAGTGGACCAGACCCCTAAATAGGTGTTTGTCTACTATTGTGTACCATTTTATTATGGTACTGTGCACAACCCCCTTTAGCTGCAGCACTAATGTCAAAGCTGTTACATTGTACATTTACATTTTAGTTATTTAGCAGACACTCTTATTCAGAGCGACTTACAGGAGCAATTAGGGTTGGGTAAATGCGGAAGACACATTTCAGTTGAATGCATTCAGTTGCTAAACAGTTGCAAACATTTTATTTTATTTGTACAACTGACTAGGTATCCCCCTTTCCCAATTAGGGTTAAGTGCCTTGCTGAAGGGCACATCAACAGAATTTTCACCTAGTTGGCTCGGTGATTCAAACCAGGCGACCTTTCAGTTACTGGCCCAACACTCTTAACCGCTAGGCTACCAGCACAACAATAATAGTACATTGTAACAGTACTCCACAGAACAGTACATTGCTCTTAGACATATACAGTGCATTCGGAAAGTATTCAGACCCCACTTTTTCCAGATTATGTTATGTTACAGCCTTATTCTAAAATTGATTAAATAGTTTTTTTCCCTCATCAATCTACACACAGTACCCGATAATGACAAAGCAAAAACTGTTTTTTCATTTTTTGTGCAAATTTATAAAAAAGAAATGGAGCAGGTTTTCATCAAGGATCTTTCTGTACTTTCCTCCGTTCATCTTTCCCTCGATCCTGACTAGTCTCCCAGTCCCTGCCGCTGAAAAACATCCCCAAAGCATGATGCTGTCACCACCATGCATCACCGTAGGGATGGTGCCAGGTTTCCTCCTGACGTGACGCTTGGCATTCAGGCCAAAGAGTTCAATCTTGGTTTCATCAGACCAGAGAATCTTGTTTTTCATGGTCTGAGAGTCCTTTAGGTGCCTTTTGGCAAACTCCAAGTGGGCTGTCATGTGCCTTTTACTGAGGAGTGCCTTCCGTCTGGCCTCTCTACCATAAAGGCCTGATTGATGGAGGGCTGCAGAGATGGTTGTCCTTCTGGAAGGTTCTCCCATCTCCACAGAGGAACTCTGGAGCTCTGTCAGAGTGACCATTGGGTTCTTGGTCAACTCCCTGAGCAAGGCCCTTCTCCCCCGATTGCTCAGTTTGGCCGGGCAGCCAGCTCTAGGAGGAGTCTTGGCGGTTCCAAACTTCTTCCATTTAAGAATGGAGGCCAGTGTGTTCTTGGGGACCTTCAGGATGCACCTGAGCTCAATTTCGAGTATCATAGCAAAGGGTCTGAATACTTATGTAAATAAGTTTTTTTTTTTTTTTTTTTTTGTAATACATTTGCAAAATTTCTAAACCTGTTTTCGCTTTGTCATTATGGGGTATAGTGTGTAGATTGAGGAAAACATTTAATTTTATCAATTTTCGAATAAGGCTGTAATGTAACAAAATGTGGAAAAGGGGAAGGGGTCTGAATACTTTCCGAATGCAATGTATGTTGAAGAAAATATTTCAACACCATAGGAACAGACTATGGAAATTGTTGTCTTTGTCTGAACTGCATGTCTTCTTGTTCTCTCCAGATTGTCATGGAGGTGAAGGGGAAACTATAGGAAACTCAACAGAACTGGACCATGTTGCTGCAGACACTTCCAGATGAGAGAAGATATTTACCTCAACCCATGTTCTAATGGGTTGAAAAGACTAATATAAATCTCACCCATATAAATAAAAAAAGACATATGTAGAATTCCAGAGACTGATGTTGAGTTGATCAATCTTTTTACGCTGCTGCTACTCTGTTAATTATTTATGCATAGTCACTTTAACTCTACCCACATGTACATATTACTTCAACTACCTCAACTAGCCGGTGCCCCCGCACATTGACTCTGCACCGGTACCCCCCTGTATATATAGCCTCCCTACTGTTATTTTATTTTACTTCTGCTCTTTTTTTCTCAACACTTTTTTGTTGTTGTTTTATTTAACTTTTTTATTAAAAATAAATGCACTGTTGGTTAAGGGCTGTAAGTAAGCATTTCACTGTAATGTCTGCACCTGTTGTATTCGGCGCATGTGGCCAATACAATTTGATTTGATTTGAAAGCCAGGGTTTTATCTACAAGGCATTAGATCATATGAAGCCTTTGCACACCATTGCCAAATGAATACTGTTCAGTCATTGCTCAATCAGTTGTCATCTTGCTGACATTTTGTGATGATACTCATGAGTCCTTTCACCCTGGTTTCGCTCAGGTACCTGTGTAATATCATATAACTCCTGTTACAGACAGAGTAACTCAACTAGCCGGTGCCCCCGCACATTGACTCCGCACCGGTACCCCCCTGTATATATAGCCTCCCTACTGTTATTTTATTTTACTTCTGCTCTTTTTTTCTCAACACTTTTTTTGTTGTTGTTTTATTTTTACTTTTTTTGTTAAAAATAAATGCACTGTTGGTTAAGGGCTGTAAGTAAGCATTTCACTGTAATGTCTGCACCTGTTGTATTCGGCGCATGTGACCAATAAAATTTGATTTGATTTGATTTGAGTCTGTCTGGCATACCGGGTCAGTCGGTGTTGGTACAGGGAAGAGATGAAACACCACTCGTAACTCCTTGGTTTACAAATTAACGGGTATCGTCCTCATATTAATTCAGTAGCACCTTTTTGGGGGGAGATTTCTAACCCTAAATTGTTGAATGTTGCCTTTGAACACCAAACTCTTGAAAGGAGTAAATGTTATTTTATGTGTGCGAAGGAAAACACTGCACACTGCTGTTCATGCTCCCAGGGGATTTTATTGACACGTTTCGACCCTTAGGTCTTCATCAGGCATCCATATCCCAGGTGGGGGTGGAAGGTCCTATATATATATATAATACATTTAATTTGTATAGTGCTTTTCATTAGTGTTATTCAAAAAAAGATGGAGCCGATGGAGAAGGGCGACATCTTACGAGTTCCAACCCAACTTTGCTATTTAGTGACTTTTATCGTGTTTATAGTTTTTTTTGTACAGAAAGTTCATACTATTATGACATAGTATCATCACAAGCACTTCTGGACATCAGATCGACGGTTACTAAACTTGATTTCGACTTCAAATACGACTTCAACTCTGACTCCGCTGTTCATACCGGACCCTATTCCTTTGATCCATGGGCTTCCAAAACGCTGCAGGCGTAAATGCGGGAGACGAGGTGGAGTCCTAGTGAAATTGAGGCGACTCCATCACCACCATGTGGTCCTCTGTAGCTCAATTGGTAGAGCATGGCGCTTGTAACGCCAGGGTAGTGGGTTCGATCCCCGGGACCACCCATACGTAAAAACGTATGCACACATGACCTAGTCGCTTTGGATAAAAGCGTCTGCTAAATGGCATATTATTATTATTATTATCACCATCGTCATCAAGTTTGCTGACAACATGACAGTGGTAGGCCTAATCACCGACAGTGATGAGACAGCCTATAGGGAGGAGGTCAGAGACTTAGCAGTGTGGTGCCAGGACAACAACCTCTCCCTCAACGTCAGTAAGACCAAGGAGCTGATTGTGGACTATAGGAGAAAGAGGGGAGAGCACGCCTCCATCCACATCAACCAGGCTGTTGTGGAGCGGGTCGAGAGCTTTAAGTTCCTCGGCGTCCACATTACTAAGGACTTAACATGGTCCACACACACCCGCACAGTCGTGAAGAGGGCACAGCAGCGCCTCTTTCCCCTCAGAAGGCTGAACAGATTTGTCAAGGGCCCTAAGATCCTCAAAGTTCTACAGCTGCACTATCGAGAGCATCTTGACTGGCTGCGTCACCGCTTGGCATGGCAATTGCGCCGCCCTTGAACGCAAAGCGCTACAAAGGGTGGTGCGGACAGCCCAGTACATCACTGGGGCTGAGCTCCCTGCCCTCCAGGACCTCTATACCAGGAGGTATCAGGAAGGGCCGAACATTTTCTGAAAACTCCAGCCACCCAAGTCATAGACTGTTCACTCTGTTACCGTTCGGCAAATGGTACCGGCGCATTGGCTCTTAGACCAACAGGCTCTGAGACAGCTTCTACCCCCAAGCCATAAGACTGCTAAGTAGCCAGACTACTAAATAGTCAATGAATGGGACCTAAAATATCTGCACTGACCCTACACACACTCACTACACCTTATATAAAGTGCATTTGGAAAGTATTCAGAAACCTTGACTTTTTCCACATTTTGTTGTGTTACAGCCTTATTCTAAAATGGAGTTTTTTTAAAAATAATCCTCATCAATCTACAAACAATACCCCATAATGACAGAGCAAAAACAAGTTTGTAGAAATGTTTGCAAATTTAGAAAAAAATAAAAACTGAAATCACATTTAAGTTTTAGAGCACCTATTCATTGAAGGGTTTTTCTTTTTTTCTTTTTTTTAAAAACTATTTTCTACATTGTAGAATAATAGTGAAGACATCAAAACTATGAAATAACACACATGGAATCATGTAGTAACCAAAAAAGGTGCTAAACAAATCAAAATATTTTATATTTGAGATTCTTCAAATAGCAACCCTTTACCTTTGACAGCTTTGCACACTCTTGGACATTCTCTCAACCAGCTTCACCTGGAATTATTTTCCAACAGTCTTGAAGGAGTTCCCACATATGCTGCGCACTTCTTGGCTGCTTTTCCTTCACTCTGCGGTCCGACTCATCCCAAACCATCTCAATTGGGTTGAGGTCGGGGGATTATGGAGGCCAGGTCATCTGATGCAGCACTCAATCACTTGCCTTCTTGGTAAAATAGCCCTTACACAGCCTGGAGGTGTGTTGGGTCATTGTCCTGTTGAAAAACAAATGATAGTCCCACTAAGCCCAAACCAGATGGGATGGCGTATCGCTGCAGAATGCTGTGGTAGCCATGCTGGTTACATGTGCCTTGAATTCTAAATATATCACAGACAGTGTCACCAGCAAAGCACCCCCACACCATAACATCTCCTCCTCCATGCTTTACGGTGGGAAATACACATGCGTAGATCATCTGTTCATCCACACCGCGTCTCACAAAGACACAGCGTTTGGAACCAAAAATCTCAAATTTGGACTCCAGACCAAAGGACAAGGTTCCAACGTCCATTGCAAGTCTCTTCTACTTATTGGTGTCCTTTAGTAGTGGTTTGTTTGCAGCAATTCGACCATGAAGGCTTGATTCACACAGTCTCCTCTGAACAGTTGATGTTGAAATGTGTCTGTTACTTGAACTCTGTGAAGCATTTATTTGGCCTGCAATTTCTGAGGCTGGTAACTGTAATGAACTTATCCTCCGCAGCAGAGGTAACTCTGGGTCTTCCATTCCTGTGGCAGTCCTCATGAGAGCCAGTTTCATCATAGCGCTTGGTGGTTTTTGCGACTGCTCTTAAAGAAACTTTCAAAGTATTGACTGACCTTCATGTCTTAAAGTAATGATGGACTGTCGTTTCTCTTTGCTTATTTGAACTGTTCTTGCCATAATATGGACTTAATAATAATATGGTATTTTACCAAAAAGGGCTATCTTTTGTATACCCCCCTACCTTGTCACAACACAACTGATTGGCTCAAACGCATTAAGAAGGAAATGAGTTACACAAATTAACTTTTAACAAGGCACACATGTTAATTGAAATGCATTCCAGGTGACTAACTCATGAAGCTGTTTGAGAGAATGCCAAGCGTGTGCAAAGCTGTCAACAAAGCAAAGGGTGGCTATTTGAAGAATCTCAAATATAAAATTTTTGGTTACTACATGATTCCACATGTGTTATTTCAAAGTTTGATGTCTTCACTATTATTCTACAATGTAGAAAATAGTTAAAAAAATAAAGAAAAACCCTTGAATGAGTAGGTGTTCTAACATTTTTGACCGGTAGTGTAAGTATTCAGACCCTTTACACAGTACTTTGTTGAAGAACCTTTGGCAGTGATTACAGCCTCGAGTCTATGATGCTACAAGCTTGGCACACCTGTATTTGGGGAGTTTCTCCCATTCTTCTCTGCAGACCCTCTCAAGCTCTGTCAGGTTGGATGGGGAGTGTCGCTGCACAGCTATTTTCAGGTCTCTCCAGAGATGTTCGATCGGGTTTAATGTCCGGGCTCTGGCTGGGCCACTCAAGGACATTCAGAGACTTGTCCCGAAGCCACTCCTGCGTTGTCTTGGCTGGATGCTTAGGGTCATTGTCTTTTTGGAAGGTGAACCTTTGCCCCAGTCTGAGGTCCTGAGCACTCTGGAGCAGGCTTTCATCAAGGATCTCTCTGTACTTTGCTCCGTTCATCTTTCCCTCGATCCTGACTAGTCTCCCTGCCGCTGAAAAACATCCCCACAGCATGATGCTGCCACCACCATGCTTCGCCGTAGGGATGGTGCCAGGTTTCCTCCAGACGTGACGCTTGGCATTCAGGCCAAAGAGTTCAATCTTGGTTTCATTAGACCAGATAATCTTGTTTCTCATGGTCTGAGAGACCTTTAGGTGCCTTTTAGCAAACTCCAAGCAGGCTGTCATGTGCCTTTTACTGAGGAGTGGCTTCTGTCTGGCCACTCTAAAATAAAGGCCTGATTTGGTGTAGTGCTGCAGAGATTGTTCTCCTTCTGGAAGATTCTCCCATATCCACAGAGGAACTCTGGAGCTCTGTCAGAGTGACCATCGGGTTCTTGGTCACCTCCCTGACCAAGGCCCTTCTCCCCCGAATGCTCAGTTTGACCGCGCGGCCAGCTCTAGGAAGAGTCTATGTGGTTCCAAACTTCTTCCATTTAAGCATGATGGAGGCCACTGTGTTCTTGGGGAACTTCAATGCTGCAGAAATTTGCCCAGATCTGTGCG